TTGGGCACAGGAAGAAGCTCAAAGAATTTTTGCTTTCTAACAGTCCAAGAACTCTTCTGAGACGTCCCTTTATGTTGGCTTTGGAGTTGGTAAGAACTACATCCTCCTCATGATTTGCTGTGAAAGGGTCTGGACCTCTTCTGCATGATTGCCAAGAGTTTCCCTAGTCTTTTAAAATAAGACTCTCCCAAGAATGTCCATATTTTTGTTTCTACAACATTTGTAATGCCAAGTTCTGAACTAAGCAATGACATGGAATTTGCTAAGTATGAGAGAATATTTATCAAGATATCAATTCTTGCCTGAACTTTCTAATCCATTTCCTTTGCTTAAGATTTTTTTTGCTTAGGAATGGGCTTTTGTTTGTTGTTGTTTATATGATCCATCAATGAGAATAACAACAAATTCTAAATGATTTATTAAAATAAGATGATAAAGCTCTAAATACACTACCATAGGAAAGATAAATTTTCTAGAGATAATAGGAAGAGAGTCTATAACTTAGATTTATTGGAAGCCTTTAAAATGAATAAGCTTAAAACATTGAAAAAAACCAATGTAACCAGCTAAAGGGGAAAGACAGAAGAAATGAAATTTAAAATTGGGTGATTCCCAAAACAGGGAAAAAAATTCCTGTTAAGCTCATGTCAGAACAACTAAAAGTAAAGCATGTACTGTCTAATTTAAAAATAATAGAATTCATGTTTCAATCATGACTTGCTTCCAGCATTCAAGACTGAAGACTCAAGTGGGATCTTCGAACCAAATTTAGAGCTTGACACTGCAGGCTGGGGAGGGAGAAGTAGCTGTCTGGCTGGAAATAGCTGCAAATAATTTCTTTTGAGCCTCTTTTGCTTTGGTAGAAACTGAAACATGCTATGGTGGTGTGCACATGATGCTAGAACACCTGGATGAAAATCAGAATACAGAGCCTGCCTTACCTCCATCCCATACGTAGGAACAGTCTTTGGAAATGGCTGCCCCATTCTAGTCAGGCATCAGAGAATGGCCGTCAGGGAACAGTGGGTTATTCTCCCCTCTCGGTTCACACTTTTTGGGACTTCCTTCTGTCCTCCAACTTGCTTTTGTTGGCTTTGCTCCTGCTAAGAACTGCACCTTCTTCCTGTTTCCCTTTGTCCTTGTTTCTCATGAACCCACCTGAGTCTCAGTTTCCTCATTTGTAAAAGCCCAGTGTCTACACCATGGTAAGAACTTAGGAAACATTCATTCTTTTCTTTTCTTTTTTTTTTTTAAAGATTTTATTGGGGAATTGGGGGAGGGAACAACATTGGGGAATTGGAAAAGTGGAACAGAAAAGTTGCTGTCCTTTTGTTCTTCAGTTTAGTTGTGGAGGATATTGCATCACTGGCCCACGTTGGTATTGTGATCATTGCACTCTTCCCGGGTGAGGCAGATTGGTCGCTGGGCATTGGATGGCTTCTCAAGCTGGCTGCCAGCCATACACGGTAGCTTATGGCAGCCCACTGCAGCAGGGGCTGCAGCCTACGCCATCGCCAGCAAATCACGGCAGCCCAGCTCCAGGTTGAGCTGTTGTTCATCATCTTAGCTGTAGCACTCATTCCTTTCTTAATGTATCCCATTTCTCATCCACATAAGTGGTGGAAATGATAATAGCAAAAGGGAGGAAAAGAGGATAGGAAGCTAATTCTCCTGTAGGTTTTCTCTCTTTGCTTTTCATGAGCTCCTTCATGGAGGAATCCTTAGTCTCTTCCTTATCCTCTAATTCTCCCTTCTTACTCTCCAGGGGTCCCAGTGATCTGGGGAGTTATTGAAATTGAATGCTCTTCTGAAATGTAGATGCGTTTTTTTGTGTGTGTGTTTTCTTTTAAGACCTCTTGTACTCTAAACCCATCTTTTCCATACTGCCACTCCTGTCTTTCACTATAGACTATTACAATTATGGTTGGGTTTAGTGGGGAGCATTTAACTTTCTCTTTCCTAGTACTGCTTGCAACACAAACTCCTAGAAAACCTCAAAAAAGATTTTGAACTTTCTATAGGAAAAAGAAGGCTTAAGAGAATGTGGAAAGTGGGCTAGCGTAGGGGGCAAAGCTTGAGTGGTGTCAAAGATGGCGCTGGTAGAAAGTTGAAGCCGGTGGACCCACCTTGAGGTGCTCAGAGCAGAGTTTCTGGAAGCTGACCCACAGTAAGAAGGTTCTGAGGAGACAAATTTCCTTGGAGCCCTCAAACTTCCCTGTTATGACTCTGCTTCTTTGAGTGTTCCAAGATTGCCCTTTGGAATCCTTACTCCTGATGCTGGGTAGCTGGGGTGAAAGAAAGCCACCGATCCCACCAAAGTACTCTGAATTAATTTTCTCCCAGTATCGTTGTTATGTGGCTACATGTATAAAATAATTAGCATATTATGCCTCATGTTCTTTATCAGTTATTTATCAGTTAGAGCTTGTTTCTTTGGGAAAAAGTTTTTGAGAGCCTCAAACAACCAGGTTGAAACCACACATTGAGAACCAAACATAGGGAATAATAGCTGTTGGAAAGTTCAGTTCTACTGATCATGCAGTCATATATCCAGATTTTTCTAAATAACCAGATGGTGTGATGCCAACAAATACAGGCATATCTTGGAGATATTGTGGATTCAGTTCCAGACCATCACACTAAAGTGAGTATTGCAAGAAAGTGAGTGGTAATCTTTTTGCTGGTGGAGGGACTTGCTTTCCATTTATAAAAAATGCAACATCTGTGAAGTACAGTAAAGCAAAGTACCATAAAAGGAGGCATGCCAGTACCAACTAATGGTATAAAAGGTTTCTGATGTTTGCAAGTGAATGGCCAATAGCTGAGGACACAGTGTCATCACAGGTCACAACACAACTAAGCCAGCCTATTGTAACATCTAAAATCATGAGAAACAAGCAACCTCTTATTCATAGAAGGTGAACTACATTTTGTTGTAGATATACATGGCTGTTTTGAGAAATACAGCTGGCTTAGGTTTCTTTAGTAGTTTATACCAGCAATAAATCTTTCCTGAAGTTCTTAGTCTCGGTGTTTTAAATTTAATTGGCTGCACTTAAAGTGTCTGATCTTGAAAAACAATAGAGAAGTACATTAAAATGAGTGCCATCAAATACAAATGGCTCAAAGTTACATTAAAAAGGGGCAAATTCATATATTATTCCACTTAATGTACTGCACTCAGAATGTCAAAGCCTGAAAAAGAATAGTAATTATGTAGTCATTTAAAAAAGGTGTCTTCAAAGAATATTGAATGGCTTGAGAATATGATGCCATTATAATAAGTGGGGTTGGGGGGGAGATAGAAGCAGATCACAAAACTATTTTGGAACAAACACAAAGAAAAATTTTAAAAATTGAAATTAATAAAGAAAAATATTAACAGTGATCATCCAGGTGGTAGGATTAGGTGTGATTTTAATTTTGTTTGTATTTTTCTGTATATTCTATAATGGCAACTTTTAATTTATTTTCACAGAATTTTTTTAAAGAAAAAAATTATAAGATAAAAGAAAATTAAACTGAATGTAATCTAACTCTAAAATGAAAATCCCATTGCCAAGGAAAAAATACTTTCAAGTCAGGAAACAGGCACCTGAACAGGCCGGGGGAAAGGAGCAAGGAAGGTTGTAACTGGGTTGAGTATATGTACAACTTTCTCTCCAAAGCATGGGCATTTTTCTTTCTGCAACAGCCTCCAGCCTCACCAGAGCTGGTTTCCTTTAATCTCTGGAAAGCAAGTTTCTGAACTAATCGCAAGAAAGATCACATTTGCTCCTGGCGAAACGTCCTAACTGGCATTGCATTTGTGAGTGGTATTTGTTTCAGGATTGCTGGCTGTATAAGCTGCTTTATGGGCCACTTTTGGGGCAGCTGTTGTGAGCTGGTATTATGTGACGCTGCCACAGGCGTTCCTGGTTTTCCCGGTACACCAACAGGCATGCTGGAACACTCAAATGTGGCTCTGTCATGGCCTACACTATCACACTATGTGGTTCCTGCCTCCAGACTTAACAGTCATTCCACATTAATCTGTGGTCAGGTTCCTCCTTTTTTTTTTTGTTCCCACATATTCTCTTATTTAGCTTACTCAGAAACTCAGTTTTCATCCAGAGATCTAGGACACTAACCACACTGCTCTGAGGTAGCCCCAAATGCTGATCTCCAAAAAGAAATGTGCACATCTCCTGTCTGGACATGCCAGTCACGCCCACGGAGGTTGTCCTTTTATGTAAAGGCTCGGTTTGCAAACAGGAGCAGGAGATTGAGACAATGACAACTTCAAGGTTGGGTCTAGAGGACTGTGTTATGTTCTGTTGGCTTGTTTCTGAGTCAAGATTAAAAAAAGAAAAAAAAATCAGAGTTTACAAAGCAGCTGATAAAATAGCTATAATTTGGTGAAATAATTTCTTTGAAAATAATAAGCTTTATCATAGATTCTGTGTTCTAGGACTGAAAGTAATAAATCTTTGTTCCAAATATGATTTTCAAAAGAGATAATGCATGTATATGCTTAGCCTGGATAGTGAGCACTCAATCATGTTGACTCCTGTGGTCAGCTGAAGTGCTGGGGCTGTCAGTCAGCAGCACCGGGATGTTTTCCTCTGTGTTTGAGAACAATTTTAATTACAGCAATCTTGCTTTTGTTTCCAGACTAGAAATCTGCCTCGACTCCAAGGTTTTTATGTTATTCACATTTTGAGCTTCTTACAAAGAACATTTTCTCTTGGAAGACTGGGCCATGGGGAAAGGGGGACAAGGACACATAATATGTCTCATCTGATTTTTTCTGCCTCCCACCCCCTTTTTGACTCCATGGAATGACTCAACTATACAACTACCTATAGAAAATGTCTCTTAATGAAGGGATGGGCTTAACTCAGCTCTCTTCTGGATGGCCAGAGGGATGTGGCCAGTGACCCAGTGAGATGGGCACTTTGTTTCAACAACAACCCTCTTTCCTGCTCAGTAGGTTATTGACTCAACTTTTTTTTTTTCAGCTGGAAACTTGGAGGTGATCCACTGTAGACAGGATCTGAGCACTGGGAAGATTGGAGGACGCCTATCTCTCTTGGAAAGAAGATGCTCATTCCATTCTGTGTTGGGTTAATCATGTTAATAATTAACATGATTAAGTTTGATAAATTCCTTCATTAATGTGGCTGCTATCTAGAGGTTGAAAAGCAAAATTAAAAGAGCCATACATTCTTGGCAAAGCTGCTTCTCAGAGCCTCTCTTCCAGGGCATTAGGAATCTGCTTGCTCTTCCAACCCTTTAGAAATGGAGACATGAACAGACTGTCCCTCTCTTGGGTTCTCCCATTATATCATGTTCTTTCTTGAAATCCATCTTTTTTCCCCATTTCCTCTTACAATGGTGTCTTCAGAGTAACGGAATTAGGGACTTCCTTGTTTCCTCCCTCTTTCCTTTTGTTTCTTCCTTCTATACATTTTTTGTTTTGTTTTTTCTTTTGAAGGGATACTTTTCATTCACACATTCATTCATTCATTCATTCGTTCATTCTTTATCTTTTTTTTTGAGTATCCACTCTATAATAGCACCTTATTTCTAATCATTTAGAAGAAAAACCTATCTCCTTTCAATCTCTTTAGTTCTGTGTCTCAGATATGCCCGCCCATTGCTGAAAAAGGCATATGCAAGAGACTAGTAAACATCCACAGTAGATGGTATCTTCTGGGAAGGTCATCCCATCAGATTCTTTGCAAACTCCTAAGTTCTCTCCCATTGGAATATGGTACTCTTCAGGGGGGAAAAACCACCTAAATGTCACCATTATTATAATTGTCAAAGTATTTTTGTTTTTACCAAAAAGGCTACATTTGCCAATAACTCAGAATATTTGTGCAGCCACTTAACAATCTTTAAGAACACCCACGTTTTTAGTAACATCATGGAGTTTCTGTTCTCCTTAAATAAGGTGGTTTTGTTATTTCTGGTTCAGAGAAGAGCACCCCGCCCCTGAGCAGAACCCTGGGTGACATGGCTGTAAGGAAGGTGGCCTTTTAAGTGCCTCCCTTCTTTTTCTTTATAAGAAAAGCAGAGATGTGAGGTTTGATAAAAATATGGAAGAGAGGTGGGGGTTATATTTTCTAAATATAAAATGTATATTAACTGGCATAAAAGGAGATGATTCCGTTCACAGACAAAGCAGAGTGAAACCAGAAGGTCATATAATTACAAATGATGCTAGACCTCTGAGTCAAAGCACAAGTTAGCGGTTTCAGAAATCAAGGTGCTTCCCTGGAGTGCTAGATTCAAAGTAATCTTGCAACTTAATGGAGCTTCAGCCCACTTAATTGCTTTAAGAGAGCCCCACACTCATTTTGTTTGCCCTTTGATCTTAATTCATGGGTCCTGAGCAGTGGCTCTCACACTTGAGTGTGCATCAGAATCACCTACGGTGTTTGTTAAACATGCAGCTTCCAGACTCTGGAGAGTTTAACATCAGGGATGCAGGAGGTCTCAGGAAGCTGTATTTATGATAGGTACTCTGGGTGTGCAGACACAGGGGCCCATGGAATGAACTATGAGAAACAATAATTTAGTGGTGCTTATGATTTACCTAGTTTTGATAGGGGAAGAAATATATGAAGAATAATTGGGATAACCCCACAGAAATATCACTTTAAAAATCCATTCATCTGGGCTGGCTGAGTGGCGCGATGGTTAAGAACTGGCTTGGGACGCCAGAGGGCCCCAGTTCGGATCCCACATGTGAGGGCCAGTGACACTGCCCTCCCCGGGAAGAGCGCAATGATGGTGCCAACTTGGGCCAGTGAAGCAACATCCTCCACAACTAGACTGAAGAACAAAAGGACAGCAACTTGTAGTTCCCCTTCCCCCAATTCCCCAGCACTGTTCTGATCCCCTCAATTCCCCAATAAAAATCTTTAAAAAAAAAATCCATTCATCTGACTAAAGCAAGATTGTACACATCTTATAATTATATTCAATAAATGTTAGATAAATGTCTAAGGGTCATATCCAGAATATTATTGAACCCCTCCCCACCTTTTTTTAGTAATAGTTGACTGATAGCTTCCTGGGAATTTCTAGAATCACGATGTTTTTAAAACTTTCTTAGAGCAATAACATTCAAAATTTGAGGCTTAGAAATGAATAAATCCATATACCCCCATCTCATTTTAATGAACATTTACTACATTTCCACCGTAAACCATGTCCTGGGCCACTATCTGGCTTTGCCTTCATGTCTAGTGATAGGAGACAGAAAGAAAATGTCCCTGCTAATTACAGAACAATGAAATATAATTAATGCCATAATAGATGAACATGTAAAGAGTATGGAAAGTGAGATGAAAAGCAAGTTTTTAGACCTAAAAGCAACCTTAGAGGCAGTTTTCTAGGCTATTAAAATTTTGTTTCACAAAGAGAAAGTTGGGGCTCGAAATTGGGAAGACTTCAATATTTTCATTCTCATGAAAGTCCTTAAAAATCTACATCATGCCTTCTGTCCCACTCATATGAACTTTGTAAGTCATATTCTTGTGTGTGTGTGTGTGTGTGTGTGTGTGTGTGTGTGTGTGTGTGTGTGTGTGTGTGTGTGTGTGTGTGTGTGTGTGTGTGTGTGTGTGTGTGTGTTTTGGTATCCAAATGAAAGAAAATTGTAAATATTACTTTATTATATTGTTTTCTTTAATTGTTTATTTTACACAGTCCTTTGTACCTTCTGGAAATATCTCGGTAACTGGGATTATCAAAACCACCTTGTTTTAACTTGGTGGATTGTTTACATAGTTGTGTTGATTAACACACACATGGTTCCCTAAATCATGGTTTCCTAGCTACTGGGGACCAGTCCTACAGAGCCATGGAATTAGTATCTGAGCTCACATATTGTGTTTTATTTCTGAACCCTCACTCCTTCATGAAAATAAATTCATTTTGGGAAAGGATTTGGTAATATTTTGACCTGTCGCATGTTTAAAGCTTAGGTACCTAAAGCAAAACAACAAAGAATAAAAATAAAGAAGGGTCTCTCTAAACCTCCTATTACTTACAAGGGTCTAACAGTGCTGCAAACAAGCAAGGAAAGATTCTTTGAACTGCATATTTCTACAGATAGCACTTCAGTTGGTTTCTGAACAGGAGGCTCCCAGATCAAGGCTCCACAAAAGAGAGAATCAGGGCTAGAAGGCTTCCTTCGGTGTCAAAATTGAAGCAGTTACCTATTGTTAGATCTCTTCCCTGGCAAGCTCTAATCTGGGACTGACAGAAAATAAAAGGTCTTAATAGTTTATAGCAGATCCCTTGGTCATATTATTTCTGATACACTGAGCAGATAACAAAATTTATAGTTGGTAAAATGGGCAACTGCATGATTTTGCTTGATCTAAGTGTTAATGTTTAATTTGTGGCTGGAGGGCAGAGCAGAAATGGGATAAATGTTGATAATCTACCTCCTCAGGAACCTGTTTCTTTAAATTCAGTAAGAATCAGCTAACTAGCTTTGTCTTTCCACTCTCAAAATGAAGAAGGGAAGTTACTAATTTGCTAAATATTTTATGATAAATTCCCATCTTCATTTTATACAGTAAGATCAATCATGAACTATTTGGACAAACAGAGTAAAACACCGGAGTATTCCATTCCTGATTTGGAGATTATGGAATGGCTCAGGAGTAAGGGGGCCTGTATTCAAATTCCTGCAGTGCAAAGGTGGGGTTGGGGTTTCACTACAAAGCTTTTGGAATTAGACAGAACCAGTTTTAAATAATACCTGTTACTTTATTGTTGAGTGAACTTGAAGTTACTTAGCTTTTGAAGCTGCAGATTTCTTAATTATAAAATGGCAGGTAGAAGATACTTAGAAAGTGTCTATTGTGAGTGAATGCTTACCTCACTAGGTGGTTAAGAGAATTAAAGGAATGGATTTACATGTGGTATTTAGGACAGTGCTTGGCTCATATGTAGCATATGCTCAATAAGTGGTAACTATTTTTTATATTTATAGCTGATAGTTTTGTACAATACAAATCACATAATCTGTCTTGCTCTCTCTTTCCTTTATCTGAATCCTGTATTTCATGAAATTTGTTTTTGTGAGAACAAATGAAAACAATTTTATGAAAGTGCCTGGCTCACAGTAGGTCTTCAATACAGGAAAAAAAATGGCAAATGGATTCTGCCCTTGGGTATGTGGGGTATTTAGAAATTCTAAACATGGACTTTTAGATCACTAATCTTATTGCAATCCTTTACTTATCACTGCTTGAAAGCAGAGAAGCAATACAGAGTACGAAACACTTTGAGATGCAATGCAAGGATGTGACCAAGGAAAGGAAAATCAGACATATTTGGGGAGAATAAGTGAAGCAACTTAGAGTGAGTGCACCAGGAAAGAAGCCTTAAAAAGGCTCTGGTTCAGTAACTTAGCAGGGTCTAGCAGAAGTTGCCGACAGTCTAAAGATGCCAAATAAATAGGACCTCAAGTGCAAAAAAAAAAAAAATCATTTGTTCTTTTGGTAGTTTGTTCAGTTTAATTAGGAGCACAAGCTGAGTACATACATAGCAGGCAACAAATAAATGCTTGTTGAGGGCACACTCTATTTGTTGCATACCCAGGGGCTATTCTCTTTTTTTCCCTTGGTGATAGAAACCTGGTTTTGACCAAGAAACAAGAGTTCCAGTCCCAGAAAAAGACTCATGGTTGGTCTAAATCAGTCATGGCAATTCTATTCTTTTTTCCCAGTGATTGGTCTAGAAGTGGTCATATGACCTAGTTCTGGCCAATAAGACATAAAGAAGACACCTCTTGGGTATTTCTGAGAAACAGAAAACAGAGGTAACAGTGATTGTATTAATCACATAAAGCACTCATGAAGATTAAATGGCGCATGCCAAGCTCCTAGTACAGTACCTGGTATATAATAAGCCCTTGATGGTGTTATTATTTAATTTAAAAATATTATTATTATTAAAATCAGATCAGTTTATGTTTGGCAGAAATGCCAAGCACCAAGCTGTCTGGAGTGGAGCAGAAGTGGCTCATATGTCAGTGATCCGTGAAAGCATCCCTGTGTTTGGGAGGCTGGGCCAAGGTATCTCTAGAATGCTCTCTGACTCGGACTTTCCAAGGCCGTTGAAATCTGTGTGCCTGCAGCAGACACATTGTGTGCCCTGAGCTGCATGCCTTCAGCCCACCTGATTTCTGCTGCAGCTGCGGAGGGCAGGTCCCAGTGTTGCTGCAGTGGGTTCATCTCAAGCATCTGCCGCAACATCTCTTGGCTTTCTTCCTTGGGTTTTTTTTTCAAAGCAGGG